TATATATATCTAAACGGTGAAAAATACCGTCCCCAAGATATATCACCAATTAACATTTTTAGCTTTGTTACACTCAAAAATGAGATCCTCGATTTTCTAGGATGGCCCTACTACATCTTAGAAAAATTGACTATTTTATACGCAATGTTTAACTTTATTCGATTTCTTTTCTCACTTTTAAAAGGAATCTACAACACATGTGCTATACACACACAAGTAAACAGACAAGCAAGCGTAGCACGCATACTCTTTGCAGGATTTTTTGGAATCTTTTCTACATCTATAAACAAAATTCTTTTAGACGCACAAATAAAAGAATATAACACAAAAATAGCAACACGACAAAATACATACGACGAAGAACATAACAATGTAGACATAACGCCAACGGCACCACAATTACCACCCCTACCAAATAACCATCCACTATCCCTAGTCCCACGAAATTTTCGAAATTTAGCCATCACACATAATCCAAATTTTCGACTCACCACATCACAAAGTCCCATTCAACATATAATGACACACCAGTCACAAGATGATAATACTTATGAACAAATTATTGAACAACCCCATACCACCGCTTTTCAGTCTCAAAAAAATCATTTTTTTAGCCCACGATGAGCCGCCAACTTGGATCACTACACCGATCAAATTCCCACCCAACCAATCTTACCTCTCCAATCCCAATAATACCACTTTTTGCTTTTCCGCCACCCGATTTTCCATCTAGTAATGTAACATCAGGCATGAATTCCGACACTAATTCACACATCTCAGTTTTATATTCCATCTCACAACTCAATAACCCGAATATTGAAACCCCCGATGAATTTGCCGACTCAGAACCATCCCCATCAAATCATTTTCATAATTCTTCTAATTTTTCTCAACCCCCTTTTCAACCCATATTATCCAATAACCCTGACCCAATCACTCCCACACCCTCTTATGCTTCCCAAGTTACCCCAACCTACTCCTCATACCATTCTGACCAATCATCTCATTCTCCAGACACCCCCCGAATCTCCCCAGAGCTAGATAATTTTATTACCCTTCAACAACAACCCTACCACCTTAATACCCCAACCATAAACCAAATCTCCTCCACAATAAATTCATCCAACCCCCCTACCCCTACACCCTCTTCAAATTATACTGAATCATTAGCACCATCATCCACATCAACTGAATCTTCACTCAACACTAATAGAGCTTACCGCACTTTTAAAAGAAAGTTCCCCAACCATCCTTTCCCAGCAAAACCAGGAACAGCCCGTGAATACATCAACCACCCCAAGCATACTAACACAAAAGAATTTTTAGCCATCACCTTACCCTCATTCCCACAATACACCTTAAACACCCCCCACGACACTAACGAAACACGCAACTTTGTAGATGAATACGTTTTAATGCCCACTCTCTCTTGGACCTCATATTATCATTTTACTAACCCTCTTTGCTTACCTTTATCTAACACTCACATCGATATAGAGCGAAATACGGACATGCTATATCGACTCACTACACCAATAACCGCTAGACAATTTACTTACGTTGGATATAAAAAATCACTAAAAACACACACTGCACCTAGAGCTAACGAATATACACTCGAATACTATGATCACAAGATCATCAGAGCTAACCAAGATCAATTCTTAGACGACGATCGCTTCGCTAATCCACAAATTACCGAGAAATTTTTCATCAAGACACCATATATATTTACACTAAACATCTTTGACCGAAAGTTTGATCACATTATTTCAGAAGCACTAACAGACACACAAGCATACGAAAGTTTTAAAGAACGCTTCCAAATATTTTCACTAACCTTTCATTTCCTTGCACCACACGAAAGAGATTTACACTGCTCACACGATATTATGTTGCGCACTAAACAAACCCACACATATAGTTATTATCGCTTCATCCAAAATCACTTTGACCTACACACACCCTCTAGACAACCACACCATCGCTTTCAATTCATTAATTCCAAATACACTTCACCATTTTTCCTAAATTTCACATATTGCATTAAAGATACTAACCTTCATGGTATTCTTCGCAATTATGATCCCATAACCCAAATGTACATCTTCTGTCCCATCACCAAGACCTTCAACGCCGAAGAATCCCGACCCTTCCTTATCCCGCACGAGTTTGTACAACCTATAGAAATCCCAATTTTAGAATTCATCCACAACACTAAATTCAATCACAAATTATATAATCTAATCCAAAACACACCTTATGAGTTTGCAGTTGGCACTGAAGAACTAACCACTATTAAGGCACTTCAATTGCTTTGGCCACTGCTTCAGACTAAAAATATCATCCGCATCTTAGCTAAACTACTAACAAATTCCGAACTAATTCACGACATCTTCCCCCATGGTTTTTTCCCCGACGACTAACAGGTAAGTATGAATTAAATGAATATTACTAACTAATAAAATATTAAAAAACTCACCATACTTTATCCATGTTTTCCTTAGATTTTTAGCCTTCATCCGACGATCACCTACAAAAACCACAAAAAACAAATAAAGATCGCAAATTTCATCAAACAGATTTCAACAATTCTATTAATCTCTTACACTTATAAATTTATAAATTTAATACCAATGCAGTAAATTCATTTCTAAAATTTTCCCCACAAGCAGTAAATCTAATTATGATGAAAATTTGTAACTTAAAATTCCCCCATAACTAGCAGTAAATTTACAAATTCTATGCAGTAAATTAATAAAATGCAAATGCAGTACTAACCTTTTGATATTCTCATTTATTCGCACAGAAATTCTATCCACACTCGCACAGCTCGCCCACGAAGAATTGTTTAAAATAATGAATTTCAGTTTCAAGTTTTCACACTCAACAACTCTAACATATAATAACATGTTTCAAACTTTCCTTTAACCCGGTTGGAAAGGAATCATATACTAAACAAAACTAACCAACGCAGCTTACTAAATACCACAAATCATAGAATAACAGCATGACTAAGAAAAGGAAACCAACGGTACCCAAACCGGATTAACCCAGTTTAAAACTGGATAATTTATTCTTTTGAAGACTATTATAAAGTCTAAAAAAGAAATAATAAAACACAAAAAAGTCGAAAGACAAACCCATACCACGAACAATTTGCTTTTTGGAAAAAGGACATAACCAACAAGACATAAGAAAAACCACAACAAACCCAACATAAAACGTTGTCACATAACAGGACCCCTCACAAAAACCGCATGAAATCATACTCCCACTCCTGGCCTAACCCACCAGGAAGGACGTCCTGAGCATGCTCTATAGCCGGCCTAACCCACCGCGCTACATCCACGCTTTGTGACCACACCTCTATTTTTAATAAGAGCTACTCAAGTGTGAGTAACTCTTCAAAATAACCGAACTAAAACAAAAAGCTTTTGTGAAAACAACTAACTAAAATCATAATTAAAAAATATTAAACTAATAAATGTTTTATAAAATGTAAATTACATTATGCAATACATAGATCAGAATACAACACCAAGGACGAACATCTAAAGACAAAACGACCCCACTACGCTCGAGAGAGAATGGCCAACCACAATCGATATGCCACTCACAATCACAACTCAAAGGATTTAGAGTACGACTTGACTTCGCAGAAAAGGACTTCATTGAACTAGACCAATGACCACCTCGATGTTCAAGTATACGTACAGATCCGAGTAACCAGGCATCCCCTCCACGCACAATCTCCACGCCATTCCCAAATTAGATCAGACACAAAAGAAGTTCTCCACGCAGAACAGAAAAACCTGACATAGCAAACCATTCTGAAATCAGATTTGAGTTTGTTGCAAAGACTTAGTCGTTGTCACTAGAAGACACAACGTCTTATGTCTCTAACTCCAGCTTCCTGGAACTTCTTTAACAAAGAGGAAACAGAAGAAATAAGATGTTCGCCAAACACCAACGTCCATCATCCATCCTTCGAATTGCAGAAGAACTATTCTAAAAAACTCTGTAAAACCCGGATGGGTGGAACCTGATCTAGACTACATTTTATGATTGGATAATTTAGATATTTTACCAATGTAAAGTATTTAATATTAACCAATCATGATCCATCTAACTAACAACCCACTTATTTGTAAGTGCTGAAGTTACTTGTAATTTCAGCACCAGAGAGATTTGAATTTAACTTAGAAATTAGTTGGACTCTCCCGAGCACTTCAGCAACCGCAATAAACCAGTATACCCTAGATCTATTGAGCCTAGCAGAGACTAGTTAAACAACCTGAGACTAGATAGTATAAGAGTAAGATTAGGATCGGTATTAGACTAAGAAGTTGCACGAATCTATCCGGCCGAAAATAAGATAGCGTGACGAGCAGACGGTGTACCCTATCCGAAATTACTCTATGAGTTAACCAACTCGGTCCTAACTCAGAAGGTAAATAATCAAAAACTGCTCATTTTACTCATTTCAGATCGTAAGAACTGTCAAAATAAAGCTGTTGACCTAAAAGTCAGCGTTTTGCCGTTTTTGACCAATTACGTTGCTTATGGCCATCAATAATGCCGAAAGTTTGGTATTAACTAAATACTTTTCAACAAATTTATTGGAAAACGTCTCAGACTTTTCAAAGAATTTTGACTTTGAGGGCTAAAGCTTCTCCGGCCTGTTTCGTTCTTCGAAGTTTCGCGTTTGTCTTTTTGTTAGTTATTTAAGCATATTTTGTTCTGAAAATTGCATGCTAGATTGTAATCATTCTGTAATTGAAATCAATCATAATTGGACGTCTCTGAAAAAACCCAATCGTTTTGCATTGATCTTCTGACAATTCGAGAGCATTATTGAAAACTTGATAGCAAACTCATTGCCATTTCACACCCTCAAGTTCAAAATCACAAAAATTTAAGTTGTCCGAGAAATTTGTTCAAATCTATAGATCTATACATGGGGTTAGTTCGTATTGCCTTGAAATCTAAAATGAAACCTTTTTCCTTGTCGTAGAATGAGAACCAGTTGTAGGACCTGAACACTTCTATGGACATCTCCCAGAAAAGGAAGTAATCTCCTAAGCGCTCTTTTCTCTTAACTGGCGCACGATTAGAGTACCACCCCGTCAAGCAGAAATACTGGCTGGAAATCAGCAAAAAACATGTTAATCAATCAATCCATTAAGCTGATAATAATTCCGTCTTATCATAAGAAGGGCTTCTACCAAGCTCATCTCACGAAGCCGAAAACCTCAATATCTAACGGGTTCCTTTCGTGTACTTATTTTAAAAAATCCCTTCTTGTTAAACTGACCCAGGGCCATCATACTGCAGTTTTTAGGGTAAATAAATTTGAAAAAAAAGAACACTCAATCTTATTGTTTCGCTGAAAATTTTTTCCCCGTTTTTTTGGACAGTAGAATTGGAAGGGAACTGAATTCCAAAACACATTAGAAAAAAAGCCGTAATAAGAACAGACTTGAAAGGACTGTTTACTAAGAGGCACAGGTGCATTCGTAGAGCCTCTTTTGTCTTTTTAGTAATTTACCCTATTGCTAAAAGTGTCATCTAAAATTGTCAAGTGTAGCGACAAAAGTTATTGAAGAAACCAAAGTTAGAAAAAAGTATGATAAAATAATGGATAGTTAAAAAATAATAATGGAAAAATTAATGAATAACTGTCTATAGTACCAATAGGTATGGGGTCAATACATAGTTTTTTTAATCAAACTAACACTACATTTGCCTATAGTCCGCGTCTAGATAGCTTTTTGATTTATATGTTTATTGTCTCTCCGAGTATTGGGAGATCAGCTCTTCTAGATCTGTGTTGCTGATTTTTTTTCCGGAAACTAGAAAAATTCTTGAGATGTTATCTTAATAAATTTTTATTAAAAAAATTAAAATTAATTATATAGTGAAATGTTAGCTCGACTGAGCGAGTAGTAAAGAGAATGAGAATAAAAAACATGAAGATGTTCGAACGGTTCAGTCTTAATGCAAGAAAGCTTCAAAGTATTTTTGTCTACCTCTAATCTTCACAGCCTTTGTTTCATCTAAAATCTGTTTTATCTTCCGGTCTTTAGAAAGTTTTCAATAATCTCATTTTTTGTGTTTTTTACTGATTAAAAAGCCTGTTTTTTAATTGTAGTAGTTCTACTTCTTTGGGTTTTTATTAAGCTGCAAAAGGACCGGGTGCTTATCGATTTATTGCCTGCTTTTCAAGGCAGACATTTTTAACGGTCAGTCTGTATGGCGACACAGTTTCTTTTTGACATCCGACAAAATAGTTATTTTTAAAAAACCGGATATTTAAAAAAGAATTCAATCTTGAAAGAATGAGAAAATCAAACTAAGATTTCAAGGGTTGACAAGTTTAAAAAGGAAAACAGTCCACTATAATCTTAAGTAAGCAATTGAAACAATAGTCTTTTATGTCCGTGTAGTATTTGCAATACTACAACTTACCCCTTCTTTAGATCAACTGTTGCTCGATTTTTAACTTTAAATTGGCATCAAAAAAGGTTTGTAAACCGAGAAATAGGTATTTGAAAAAGAAGCATAAAAGTTGAAATGAAACCGTTGGAATCATTCATTTCCTTCAATTTTTTTCAGCGTTTTTTGTTCCACTTTCTTGTCATTGATATTATAAACAACTTGATCCAATTGCTACTCGTTGTCTTGAATTTGGTAGTTCTCATCATTATCATCGAGTCAAGAATGCAATTTGGCATAGGCTTGATAGATTAGGTTCTGTTTTGACTGTTCTCAGTGGTCAAAACTGAAGAGAAGAATTGCTATCTCCTCTTTGTTCTGATTGTGATTTTTTGCATTTTACCTGACAGTTTCCAGTTGATAAACGGTCTGAATATTGTGCACCTTTGTGTTCATTCAAACCTAGGACAATGAAAATCAGAAAAAGGAAAAAAAAATTCCCAGTTTCATCCTGGCTGTAATATAACTAACAAAGCATACATCTTTACACTTTTCGTTGGGATTGACTAGATAAAAACGGGAGAAGATAGAAAGCTGTGATGAATGTGAGGAAAGATTAAACAAAAATCTAAATTGATTTGGCAACTTTTTTGTCATCACCAGCAAGCTTCGGTTCTTTTTATTGGTAAAGAAACAGAAGACAACAGAATTCAAATCAAACCATACTGAAAAATCGAAGACTGAAATTTTAAAAGAAATTTTAAAACCAATTAGAAAAAACTTAAACAAGTTAAGTGGAGTAGTTATGTTTTCTTTCGGTTGTAAAATTTTGTCCTAGG